ATTAGACTACAGGATAAAGGATGATTTTCTCTTCCTTCCCTATCCAATATTGGCGCCACACACAGGGATAGGAATCCCTAGCATGGCCGGCCACAAGGGATAAGGGATAAAGGAGAATTTTGGTTCGAAATTCAAATTGGAGATAGAGATTGGATTCTTTCTAGAAGTTTGACTTCTACTCTATAAATACTATTTTTGAGACAATTTTCGGAATGGTTTTTTACCCTAATTTTAGAGGTAGCCGAAATTTCTTTATAGAAAGAAGGAAACAATTTTTCAGCCCTAATTGGTTAAGGCTGGCCGAAATTCTCAAGAGAGAAAGGAAGGAAAAAAATTTTCTCCAAAAATTCCACATCGTGCATGCGATGGTGTTTGTGGAAATTCGAGTGTTTATTGTAACCCGTTTTGTCTCATGTGTGCCCACACACACGTCTTCGTGGATTCTAGGAATTGACGTGGAAGACATTAGTTTTCTAAACACAAAAATTGGAGCAATGACTGTTCGTGGTCAAAGAACTCAAGTTATCATCCGAGTCGGCTTCCAGGTATTTTTCCTGATTGAGTTCTTGATAAATGAATTAATGAGATTAATTTATTCGTGCATAAATTAATATAATCTATAGAGTATCTCAAAAGTTTTATGAAAATTTTTGTTATACACGATCCGCCTCTTCCCCGCACCACCGCGCTTCCGCATCCGGATTCGATTCGGAGACCAACAGTCGGTTGGCAGCTTCTTTGTAGCGAGCGTTAGATTCTTGCTGTTTGGCCGTGACTTCATCACGAGTTTAGCGAATTCTTTCCGTAAGAGCATCAGCAGAGTGACCCTTAGTCGCACTGCATGAACATCATCGGGGATGATGGTTGAATCTTCTTTAACGTCTCTAGTCAGCAAAAGCAAGGCACAACCAACTTCTTTGAGGTGCTGCCCAAAAAAGCCAAAAGAGCATGGCCTTTGGAAGGGTGACAAACATTGGACTCCCCCACGTTAGGCGCGGAGGGTACCAAAATGACCTTATTGTTCTTCTAAAAAAACAAATAAGTATTATCCCGCCCTTTATAAAGAGCATCCACATCATATTGCCACCCAACAGAACATGGCATGCATCCATATCCACCACATCACAAATGACCTCATCGTTGTAATATTTTCCGATCGAAAATGGGACTCGACACACTTTTGACACTTTAGTCTCGGCCCCTTTCTTAATCCACCCAATGCGGTATGGACTTGGATGACTCTCGGTCTTCAACTGTAAGGCCCGAACCAAGGATTTTGAAACAATATTCTCGCTACTACCACTATTAATGATCACATTGTACACTTTCTGTTTGATTGTGCAGCGTGTCCGGAAAATGGTATAGCGTTGAGCTGGAGAATTTTACCGTGGTGTATAGAGGAGTCGCTACATAATACAAACAACTTGCTCACCCTCATCACCTTCAACTATTTCGACTTCCCCTTGAGAATCTTCTTCCTCAACCCCAAGTCCTTTTTCCGGATTGTACTCTTCAGCCAAATTCACTAATCTTCGTTGTGGACATTCATTTGATCGGTGTCCCTGCTGGATGCAGCGAAAATACTTCCCAAGGGCTGGTTGGGCATAGGGATTTGGATTGGTTTTATTTGGAATGGCCTCTTGAATGGTTCAGTTGTGAGTTTCAGCAGGGGGTTTGTTATGAGAAGGTCCTACAGCCCGTGAAGAGGATGGCTGACCAGTTTGAGCCTTCTCGTGGTGGGTCTCTCCTTTCCGAGCATATTGACTACGGATTAAGCCACGTTGCAGTTGGGTTTCCAATTTATGAGTAAGATTCACAGCATTAGATAAGCCCCAAACAGGCCTCAAAATGAGCTCATTCTGAATCGGCTCCTTCAAGCCACCAATATATCGAGCAACTTGTTGCGTTTCAGTCTCATTTAAATTATTACGGGCACATAAACGGTAAAACTCCTCTGTATAGTCACTTACCAACCTCCCCATTTGTCGGCAATGTTGGAGCTAATGGTAGAGCATTTGTTCATAGTCTGCTGGCAA